ACGAATACTATGCTTGGTCATATGCGACTTCGTTTGCAGTATGGCGTGAATGTGTGTATGCATTGTTTTTATTACCGTCTCCAGGGCTCTGAGGGATATCTAAAAATCAACCACGTTCCAATCTCTCTTCCACTCGTCCATCTAACGATGTTCGGATGAGCTTAGGTTCAGTTGGCTTCCCGCCTAATTAGCTGTGAATAAAGATAGATCACTCTGTGTCATGACCCGTGTATTTGAACTGTGGCACTTTCAAATCGGTGCAATCAATTGACAGAGTGAAATTGACAGACACCTTTCTATCACGCAGATTGATTTGATAATAAGACTACAAAAAATAATGTGACTCGAGTTTTACCATTCAATGTGCTTCTCTTTTTGTCAAAACATGTGACACCGAAATAAAAACGTTTACGATGATCGCACTGATGTCACAGGAACAGAGACAACCAATCAGAGAAAATTCTTTGTCTGATTGTGCAAACAACGGTATAAAATGATTGGTCGGATAAAACTCATAATCTGATTGGCCAGTGCCGTTCATTCGATTGGACCAATCCGAATTGTAATCCACAGAACGAGTCAGTCAGTCGGTCATACGCGTACTGAGACGAGTTGTTCTATCCGTTAAAAAGTGTAAATTTTAATGCGTACACATGTGTGACTCTGTTACTTGTTCACAGTAGTATTATCTGTTTCATAATTCCTCTCGCAGCCCCTAAGATTGACTTCTGGTTCCATATCAGACGATTCTTCACTTCGATTTATCTTCTATTTCCAAACAAAACCGATTGACCGACTCTGGAACACTGTAGTTGTGTGAGGAATGGCAACAAGTCCGCCTGTTCCCTCGCGCTCTAACATACACACGCACACACATAAACTATTTATTTAATTACTCAGAGATGCATACAACGTGTAACAGTTCCTCCTATCAACGACCCTTTCATAGAATCTAACTTTCAATCCTTGACCAATCGTTTCTGTGTCACTTTATAACTGTCGTTACTCTGGATTCTGCTCCTCTAATGTTTGCCTTGTCTGCTCCCTCTGATCATGTCTTAGCAGTTATGGGCCCCGTAACACGAACCCCTCTGACCCCACGTGTCTGTTTCCACACCCGGCTGGATTTCATTCAATCGTTTTATGTCTGTGCTGTCTGTATGCTCCAAG